ATTTTGTTTACTATTTTGTTACTTAAATTTTATCAGACAACAATAATTTTGAGTCAGTTTACAGTATTGGTGGTGCAGCAAAATGTTGGTCTGAGGTCCCTGTTCCAGGACAGGTCCATTTCCATTCCTGTTCAAACAGCCTTTCCAGAGGGTACACTAGAAGAGGTAACTAAGAGCCAGTACTCCTGTCTCCCCAGAGCACTATGAATTCCTCTTCCCTTGCCTTCTAGTCCTTTGACACTTGCTATTCTTCCCCTGCCATTTTGTGTCTCCAACAGAAATAGCACTCCTTGGCTGCGGCTTGGTGCTGACAACCCTGTGCTTGGGAGGTAGGAGCTTCAAAGGCTATGAAGACTACAAGACATGGCTAAAAATCCTTTTCTGTACCTGAGGAAATGAATGTCTTCACCTGAGGAATGAGATTAGACGTGGATCTTGACTAGGTTGTTCTTTCCATGGAAAGGACTCTAGGTAAGGGTGAGCCTGGAATGCAAAGTTGTTTCTGAGTCCTGGTAACTCATTGCTGCTGGTGAAATAAGGGAATAGGAGGGATATCAGCCTCTGTGGGGGAAGAGGAAGGGGCTGGGAGAAGAGGATAGGAATTATGCTGAAGCCCCTGTTCCAGCAGGGACCACCACCTCAGGTACCTCCAGCTTCTTCCTCTCAGTGATAGCAAGCAATGGTTTCTGAAGGCTTGGGATAGGCAAAGTAGAAAGAAAAGACAAATGCATAATTAAACCCCACAATTATCATTAACATATGCCCTGTTAGTGGGGGAGGAGAAGAAAAGGGTCCAGCTTGTACAGATTTACATTTTTGCTGGTGAAATGACCTGCGCATAAGATGTGTTCTCGATGAGCACTGTCATGTCTTCTTTGTTCCTCATGAGCACTGTAGCACAGAGATACACATTCTAATTCTGTGATTGAGTCTAACCCACACCTTGATGTTAATGACTTCATTCATATCCTAAAACTTAGATTATAGTGTAGGTGTTCAGCATTTGAAAAACTGTTGGTTTTCCATGATGACTAACCCTACCTGAGAAGCGATTGACCAGGGAATTTCTTGAGAGCTTTTCTAAGCCCTTAAGTTTCTACAGTTGTTTCACTCACAAGACAAGCTGGCCTGACCCGTACTAACACTTTGTTTTCCTTTGCAATTAAAATGTGTCAGCTGCCATGTGAAACATGCAAGACTTTTCAGAGTTGTCAGAAGCTCAGCAGGATGACATTGAGTGTTTGCACTGCAGTTTATGACAGTCCTGAGATTAATTCCCAGATCAACCCTGTAGTTTTTTTTTAAACCAGTGAAAGATATGGACTGCTGAATAAATCCATTTTGCTCATTGGCATATGATTCTGTTCCCACGTTTTATTTCCCTGTTCCTTATTCTACAGCTCAAAACACATTTCCAAACATGCCTCTGTGCAATCCCAAAATGAGCATGTGACTGTAGATTCTTCAATCTTTAACACATTGTATCCTAGTCCAACAGCACATCTGGAAAGGGATTTGGATGCTATTTCTTTTCTTTTTAAAGCTAGAATGTACCAGTTCAGTGACCACGTGTATCTCTTTCTGCCAGTTTTTGTTGTTTTGGTCTCAGTTTATTTTAATAATCATGCTGTGCTCACCTTATTTTTTACTCTTCAGTGATCATAGCATCGGTGACCACAAGTATGACCACAATTGGCCATAAAAAGGACTGAGATCCCTGATATGACTCTTAGACAAGGGGAGTATGAAACTCACTCCCATCCCACTGAATCTGTAGCCTGCGGGAGCTTTGCAGCATGACTCTGCTCCCCTTGCCATTATAGACAGTAGCCTGTAACTGAGTGTAGCCTGCTTGGCTAAACTCTGCTGTTCAGAGATTTCCAAGGAGCTGGTCAGGAAGGCTGTTGTCAGACCCTTGCCTTAGGAAGCAGCATATGTGAGTGGTCTGCTTAATGCGAAACATATTTGAAACTTGCTGTGTTGCCAGAATTAAGATTGCAGTGAAAGAAAGATGACCTTGGTGAAGGCTCAGATAAAAGTTGACTGCTTAAGTCAATTAAAAGGTGGCCAGTTTAGATTACACAGAAGAAAGAGGCTTTTTGCAATAAGGGTTGGAAAAACACAGGAACAGGTTGCCCAGAGAGCTGGTGAATGACCAATCCCTGGAAACATTCAAGATCAGGTTGGCAGGGCTCTGAGCAACCTGATCTAGTCGAAGATGTCCCTGTTAATTGCATGGGGCTTGGACTAGATGACCTTTAAGGGTTCCTTCCAACTCAAACTATTCTATGATTCAAAGTGTACAGCACCTCTTGATTGACCACTGGGTCTGTTTTTGTGCCTGGATGTTTACAATCCATCTCTGCTTTCTCTCTGTCTGGTGAATGTAACACTCAAGTGTTGCAAGGAAGGGGACTATGGGATGTGAAGGCATCTCATGCTGAGGCAGGTGCCCTGAGGAGATGGGTCATGAGAAAGCCTGCCCTGGGCATGGCAGGTCTGCAAGATCTGTGATAAAGTCATCATCACCAGTGGTAACTGGAAAAATACCAGCACACTTCTCCTAACAACTGCTTAATCCAGGATTCAGCACTAGTTCCAGCTGTTGACAATTATACTCTCCTTGTAGCTTTGCTTAGATATGGTGTTTGTCACAACAGATCTAACCTGTTAAACAGATACTGATTTTTGCTCCAGCAAGGATGCCTGTAGTGACAGATAAAATTATTTCAGTGTACAGTGGATAATGTCCTTCAATTTGTTAAATTTGCCAACTGCTTTGGGATCCTGTGGGATGAAAGGTGTCATAGAAACGTAAAGTGCTATTAGTCATCCTAAATGATTCTGCTCCATTTTCTTAAAAAAAAAAACCAAACAACCACATATACTTCTTTCCTGCATTTTGTTCAATGTTTGGTTGGTTTCTTTAATTCTCTACATTGAACTACTACTATCAGTGTCTTAGTCTAGGATCTTGACTGTCTCATTTATCTGACCTTTGTTAGGCAGTTTTTTCCCTTACCTGCTTCTCCAGTTACTTGAGTGATCTGTTTCCAGTGAGTAATTTTAAGACGTTGATTTTCAGTGGTTATACTCAAACACACAGTGAGTTTAAGCACACGCAGTTCATAAAGCTCAGTGAGTCCAAATACTTCGGTTGTACTTGCTTGATTTACTGTATTTTCCCATGGCCTAGGATTAATTACAAACAGCTGAAACAGAAAGGCCTGATGAAGATGAAAGGCCTAATCTTGGTGTGAGTGCAGGGAAGAGAGATGTGTGAGACAGCAGTCCAGTAAGCCTCTAGCTGGAGGCTTAGTTATACCCAAATACTGTCATTCATGGAGCCAACTAAAACTGTCGATCAAACCCCTGTCAGTCTAAACAAGTCTGAAACTTGAAGAAGTTTGCTTTAGTTGGCATTTAACTTTCCCTTGGCATCCAATTCTTAGCTTTAATCAGAATATCGCACAGAAAATAGGGTTCATTTTGAGTCCAGCTCTGTGAGGTATTGTGTGTAGTGGCCTGACCTCAGAGAAGTTTAAGCTCCACCTTGCAGACATGGGAGTGAACAACAACACAAGCAAAGAAAACAACTCCTTAGAAAGACATCTGAGCAGTTTGTCAGGTCTCCAATTGTTCCCAAGAGCAGTATTTCCAGCATTTTACTTACTCCTGTAAGTAAAGGAAAAAAGGGAACCCATCTGTGGATGTTAGAGGTCTGATCATTTCACATGTGGCCTCTGTTGCCTTTAAGAAAACTTAAAGCACATTAATGATAAAATATGTTATCAGCCAAAAAATGTGAATCTACAGGGTCTGAAACTGAAAATAAAGTATAAAGTAGCTCCAAAGTTGTGTATAAATTTTCCTCATAAAGCCAATGTTTATGGAAAAAGTTGTAAGGTAAACAAAATTTTTGTGCCTCATGGTACATCTAGAACATCAATATAATATTTTTAAGGGAAATAGGAATAATCCAATGGACCACATCATTTAGATAATAGAGAGGTGCAATAAAGAAAAGAAAAAAATAAGTATATAACTGTAACAATGTCTAATGTATGTGTCATTAGGTGGATTTGAACTTGAAGCATATAAAGTAATGGAAAGAACTGAAGTTCACTTGCAAACATATCTATAGTCGGCAGATCAAAGAGACCAAGTCAACAGGTGGACCTAATCTGTGGGCAGAAATAGTTTTAAGATTCTCCTGAGAAGCTGTGACCACTGTCATATCCTAGATGAAAGGGCCATGTAAGTACCTGGAATTGTGTTTTAATTGCTGTTTCTACTCCCATCTCTACTACTGTGAACCTTTTCTTCTCAGGACAAAGCTCAGTCTCACACATGCTCTCCATATATGCCTTTTAAAAGGGGCACTGAAACCAGGTATGTAAAAAAACTGTTAATATATTGAAAAATATATATAGGCATAGAAATGTAACTGTTTTTCTGATGTCTTTCTGCCCAGGCTCTCAAAGAACATGCCTGTTATCAGATTCCTGCTCTTGCCATGGTGTTTCAGTGCTTCCAAAATGCTCAGCTTTATGAATATGACATCAACAAGTTGATGTAAGAAATTCCTGTGACCCATTCACTGCTGTGAACAGGGGATGTTTGAATGTCAAGGCATATTCTGCAAATGAAACTTTGGTAACTCCAGAATGAGTTGCTGGGAAGCATCTGTTTTATACTCTGTCCCAGTTCCTTGACAGCCCTGTAAGAAACCCAGCTATGAGTTAGGCATGTGGCTGCTCACATGTGCAGTAGGGCAGAGCCGCCCTAACCCAGCCACGGGTGTGCTCATGGGCCGTGGGGATGGAGCACAGGGCGTGCAAAGAGAAAGCCGGAGCCGGGTTTGACCAGCCAGGAGAGGCCGAGGGAAGGGGGGGTGGCGGGGGATGCCCGGCTGCTGTTTGCAGCCACCTAAAGGGGGGTTCCAGAGAAGGAAGGCAGAGCCAAGCTCCTCGCAGCAAAAGCATAAGAGGCCACGGGCGCGCGTGGCCACAAGAGAAATCACAGACGGCGCCCTCCATCCCTGGCTGCCCAGGCTGCCTGGTCGGGACTGCGGGATGCAGGTACGCAGCAGGCAGAGCCCGGGGCACTCATTGTCCAAGGATGCCCAGCCTCGGGGGTAGTACCCTCGGGGGCTCGGGATGGGCTGGGCAGAGGTACCCGGTTTGGCTGCCCTGGAAACGAATTCCTCTGGGTGTCCATCCTTTTCTTTCTTTCTTTCTTTCTTTTTTTTTTTTTTTTTTGTTTTTTTTTTAAAAAAAAGAAGAATAAATATATACATATTATTTTTTTTTTCGGTTTGGGTGAGGTTGGTTGGTTGGTTTAAAGCCATGTTTTTGCACTTGAAACAGTTGTGGTGCGGCCAGTGAGGCTGACCAACGGGATGTGTGGTTTGCTGGGGGCTCACACTGCGGTTCGATACGCTGCCGGGGCTGGCCGGCTGGCAGCCCAGGAGGGGCTTGCGAGCGGCTTTTTAAACCCTGGGATTTCAAGCGCTCCTCGGGATGAGTCGCAGCTCGGCAGCCCTGCACAGAGCGGATGTGCGGAGGGAAGGGAAATGCTTTCGGCTGAACCCAAAAAGTACGTGTCAGGAGGAAGGCAGAGAGAATGGAAGGGAGCATTTCCCTTCTTCTTTGTTTTCTAAGGAATGGTTTAAATGAATTGCTTCTCCTTTAAAAAGAAAATCTCATTGACGTGTTTTGATGTAGTGAATTTGTGTGTGTGTGTGTGTGTGTGTGTGTGTGTGTGTGTGCACGCATCTGACCCAGCTCTTCCCAAAGGGAAATGTATTTTCTTTCTGCTGTTTAGATTTTTGGAGTTTGGCTGATGGGAAAACTGGTTATAGAGAGGAGGATGTAACAGGAGGTTGCTTAAATTTGTTGAATCATCAAGCTCTAGTTGATTAAACCTTATTGTGATCTGGTCAATAATAGAAAGAAAATTTTGATGAAAAAGGAAATATTAATGAAGTTCTAAAGCAGATTTCAGAGCTGTTATGCTTTTGTGGAGCTGATTAATGTAATGCAAAGTGACCTAAATGAAGTGCTGTAGAGAGGCTTGTCAATTGTTTATACAATTAGCTAGGATTATTTGAACACATTCATAAAGAAAAGAGGATTTTCTTGTTCATTACAAATTAGTTATGATGATTTGGGCCAGAAGACTGAGACAGGTCAGCAAACTAAATATGAAGAAACTATGTACCTCTGTCCTCATATAACCCCATCCTTGTACACCCTGACCTTATACCATTACAATATTTTGTAGAGATTTTAGGATAGAAAATTTACTGCTGAAACTTTGATAACTCGCTTAGGCTTATTTTATTAGCCAGTCCAGTCCTATCATTCAAAGAATTCTACCAAGAATATCTGTTTCTCTTTCTAGTCTGGAGAGTGGAAGAGAAAAGGTTACGGGAGAAACTTCAGCTTTGGAGGGAAACTGTGGATTTTGTCTCATTGCAACAGGTCATTGTCCTGGAATAAATTGCAAAAAAGTTGGGCAAGCCTTTTATAGAGTCATTTTAAGCAATAAACAAATGGCAAGTGAACAGGAGGTTGAGCATGTAACTCATAACTCCAAATTATTTAACTGTACTGAGAGTGTTCTGGCACTGCTAAAGGTCATAACTTTTAGTTTATTTTGTCTTTTTAATCTTTATCATGATGGCACTTTGCATTATTTTTGCTGTTAAATTTTCTCTGAAGTTTCTGAGGAAATACAAGTTTTGTTCCCTGTCAGTATATAACTCACCAAATTCTGAGCTAGTTCACATCCTGCATTACTTTATCACACTATAAACTTAGCTTTGCAAAAACGCGTGTATGTGCCTTCAGAGGTTGCAAATTTCACTCCCACCCAGGATGTCCTGTATTTCCAATGATCTGGGGGGTCAATCTGCAGGGAGAAGGTGGCTGCTGAAGATGGTCTGCTTATTCCAACAGCCCTTGCCTAAGCAGAGTTGGAAGCAGAATTCGTTGCACACTCCGGACTGGGCCCACAATAGAGATATGTGTCTGCATATTGTTGCAGGTGGTTAAATGAGGCTGGTAACACTCCAGAACCACCAGAACATGATAAAGTGATGTTACTGGATGAGATGATTCTGCCTTTGGTATCAAGGTACCCAGGAATTTTTCAAAGTTATGCAAACTTAGCAAGAAACATGGAGTTACAAGACACTGAAGCTGCAATACAAGTCAAGCTCTCTGAGCCTTGAAAAGTAGGAAATCTTAGTATACAGGTGCAAGTGAATTGAAGTAGTTGTTCATAATGCAGCTGAGAGGCAACCACCAAACTGACTTGCACAAACTTATTGCACTCTACTAAAGCACTGAAGAATATGGCCTCTAGGCACCTTTTATAAATTCTGTGGAAAGGGCAGCCACTCTAGGAAATGTTGAAATAAAAAGATACTCTTCAAGCTTCACATACAGCTTTGGTGGACACCGGGACTTGAGAGCATGCTTAGCAAGTAGATAACTAAGCAGTCAGAAATGCCTGATACAGATGATAGTCACTAGCTCAAAGTGTGATGTGACACATGCAGGATGCGTGGCATGGTTCAAGGGTGCAGACTTGGGCTGCTGTGCAGCTGGATCACTGCGTACACCTCTGGGGCAGCCTGTTGCAGTTAGGTCTGAGCTTGGAGCTACCAGCTGTCCTGCTGGGAGCAGCCCAGGGAATGGTATTAGCAGCTTTGTCTGACAGCATTTGCAAAGTTGAAACATACCCTAAGCAGAAAAGCAGAGGAAATAGGGAGATGGACTTTTCTGATTCTTGCTGAGCAAATGGGCAGAACACTGTGAGAGGCTGCTGAGTTTAATGGAGAATGCAAACCAGAAGTTGAATAAAGGATGCAGACTAGAAGATTTGAATGCCAGGTGGAGATATATGCCTGATACCTTGGACTGACTGCCATCAGCACAGCTGTGCTGCCAATGAAATGACTAGGTGAAGCTAAGCCCTTGCTGACTGGATGATGAAATGGTCAGTGTCTCAATAGCTACAGGTAATCTAGAGCTAATAGAGCAATAGGAAGGAGCATGCTTTCTTTGTGCCTTGTTAACTTAGCAATGTCTGCAAAAGGACTTGAGTGAGAAGGAAATTTATTTGGGTTTTAATTATAAAAAGGACAAAGTACTTCCACTGAACTTTCTGCAACCAATAACTTTAGTGTTCGATGAGTTACTTGCTTTTTGTTGAGAATGAAAAAATATGCATGGTTTCTTATGTATCTGATTTCTTTTGCTACGATTTGTATACTGAAACTTGTACTAATATTCAAATAATGTAGTTGAGTTTACTATGATAAAGGGAAAGAGTGAGTAAGGCTTAGAAACTTGCAGTATTGAGCTCACTGCTGTAGTAAAAAGGCCCCTCCCTCCAGGCACTGGAGAGACCATTGTATCAAAGCTGAGCATTAGCTAATGAAGGTTAGCAGTGACTTCAAGAGCACCAGGGAGACCTTGGATTAATGCTGGTGCTTTGGAAAACTCTAGTGGCAGTTCTATAGGTAAGTGCCAGTCAGTTATTCCTCAAGCAGCTAATGAGGAAGGCAGTTTGTCTCTAATGCCGGAGGGCTGCTAGAACTCCTAGTATTTGGGGTCCCTCCTCCACAGCACAGGAGGTAGTAGTCTGCTGCTGGTGTCCTGGATCATGCTTCAAGACCCTTAAGTAACCCATTTGTAATAGAATTGTTTTGTTCAGAATTAATTACTGTGAAATTGCTTTGCATGCTGTTAATAGCTCAGTGTTTAGTGTTTGATCACAGGAAAACTGGCAATAAACTTTTGCTAAAGTTCAGTGCAAGTTTGCAACTAATAGTGACTATTTGTGTTCAGGGGGCTTTTACTTGTGGAGAAAACTTGAGTATCCTTCTTTCTTACCCCCACAGTTGTTGTGAGCATATTTTTCCCTCGCCCGTTTTTGCATTGAGAGACGCTCTTTAATGTGATGATTTTCTGGAGCTGGGTGGACAGAGAAAGGTCCAGTGTGAACTTAAATCTAGTATGGACATGACTTGAGACAGGTACATGGCTTTGTTAGACTTACTTTTGTTTTGTGAGATTCTCTGGTGCATATTACTTTGATGACTTGTTTATAAGCTTTTAAAAATAAAGGTTAATTTTTGCAAAATGGCACATTTCTTCTTAACCCAGAAAAAGAAGCTGCCTTGTGCTGAGATTTTCTTTTCTGGTAGTTCATCATGGTTCCAAGCTGATGTTGCAACAGCAGTATAGGATAGAAGTTGCTTCAAATCCACTGCATATCCAAAGATTATGGCAAGGGTGAGAGGAAGATGGTGTTTCCTATTACAGATATGCTAAAACTTCTGTTAGCTTTTATAAAGTCCTGAAAAGTGGTCTGCAGAATTAAAACAAGAGACCACATTAAAACAACTACATCATCCCTATTTTCAGTGTGTTATACAGAGCAGTGGAGAGGGAAAGGATGACGTTCCTTCACTGCAATAGCAAAGTTGTCTTAATGCTTCTCCAAGCCAAAGTAAAGGTAATTGCTTTTGTATGAGATATTGTTTCTTCTTTCAAGATGTGCACTGCCATGAGATAATTAAGTTTCTTGAGAGATACAGGAATTACTTTTACTATACACACCTATTCCCACCAAATGTGTCAATGCATACTTCATTAGTTCAGTGTTTTAGAAATCTGGGAGTCTTTTGATTGACGTAATTTGTCTGTAATTATGCCTATATTGCAGTTTCTTATTAGTTTGCCAGTGTTACTTCTATCTTTGAAATGTCTTCAGTACAGCAGTAGATTCTATTGATAAGTGGAGCCGCAGGTTTCACTTGTTCATTTGACATTGGTCTCTTTGTTCCTTTAGCAATGCTAAATCCACAAGGAATTCGTAAATGCTTCACCCTCCACGTGACTAGAAAAGCAATGATCTCCTTTCTAGATGAGAGTTTGTTTTACTCTTGTTTTAGAGAGTTAAGGGAAGTTGTGCTAGTGACAAATGGTTTCATTTGGCAATAAAGACTTGCCTTTTGCTGCAGAGATGGGTCATCTTGAATATATTTCACTTAATTTCTTTCTCT